ACCCCGTGTTTTTATTTTTTTATTTTTTTATTCATCATTTTATGTAAAAGGTTATAAATGACAGAGAATTATGGTTCAGGGTAGAATGACCTCATTCTTTGTTGCATCTGGTCATTTTTAGTAAGTCTTCTTTCTTCCCCTCCTTTTATTTTTTCCCTTTTTAAACCATTTTGTATAGACATGTAAACTTGATCTGTATATCAACTTTGTCTTTGATCGTGCAAAACATACATTTTATCTTGAATAACTGGCTGCTTGCTGAGCCATGCACTTGGTAACCTGCGTCCCTGCCACTTCGACGAGCCAAAGGCTTGAGCAAACCATATAAGTGGCCACCAAGTAACAATTTGCAACTCATCTTTTACTTTTTTCATGTTGATAGTTTAAAGGGTTTAGTTAAAGCTTGTTATGTTATGGTTAAGCTAACCCTGGGAACCGGGTAGCCTGAAAAACTGTCTGGGCCATTTGTATGGAAACTTGTGCTGCCCTTTAGTTTGAATAGACTGGCTCCTGACCTACTTGATCCTTCTGCCGATATAATGCCAGCAGTTGACTTTGTGGCTCTGATGAGCATCACGCGACCCAATATTTGCCACGATGCAGCCAGTCCAAGTAAAGAAATGTTTTGCGGTAAAAGTTCTCAGATCCAGCCACCAAAGTTTTGGAACATGTTTGGCTTCTGTACAATATGATAATTTGGCATCTTGGCGAGGGCCGTTTGATCTAGAGGGTTGAACTTGCCGACAAGGCTGCCAAGAAGAATCTTTGAATCTCTAAGAAGCAATCTTTGAATGTTTCGGTTAGAGATCTGACCACGTTTGTCCACATTATATACTATGATGCTTTTAAACTTGCTCTTCGCTTTAGGTTGACTAGGCATAGACATACTTGTCAGTGAGCGTGGCAGGTGGCAAGTTTATCTGGTCATATTGAGTTTTAAGCACCTGCTGTGACCTGCACAATACGCCTAGCTTTGAGGCATGTCAAGGCTTTTTTTGCCTTTATAGAAAAGTATGGTTATTGATGAAGGTTTTTCAAAGAAATTACACGTTACCACGTTACACAAGCGGTGTTGCTTGAAATTGTACTATGTCTCAGTATCCTTAAACCCAACCCTTTATATAGTAGAACATTTCTTGGATCTTGAACTACGTTACTCTTTATTTTATTTTTCTCATGTACACATTTGATACTAGTAAGTTAACTCTGATACATTTATGTTCTTTCTACATTGTTAGGTGTTTTTTTCTCTTTTTTGTAGTTTTCCACAAATTAGATCCCGCTTTCT